GGTCATGGAGAAGGAGTCGTTCTGTGACATCATAGGGTGACGTCAGGTAATGGTGGCTTTGTCAAAGGACAAAAGTCTCCTTTGCTGAGAAGAGGCAGGGCTCTGAGGCAAGAGCAAGAAGACAAACCCCTCTGAACCACAGGGGTGACTAAGCCTTGGAAGCCTAAGAAACTGGAGACAGAGACTTTAGATGACCAAGCCTGGAGGCTAGGCTAGGGACTGGGTACTAGTCATGCCTGCTGTACACATTGAGCTCGTGGCACAGAAAGCAAACCTGCCATCCAGTGTACCAGCCACCCACACCATCACTTCCCTGGTTTTGACCTTATCCTGTTGTATTTACCAGCCATTTGAGATTACCAATTCATGTCCTCCTTAAATATTAGCTAACGTGTATTAACTGTGGCCTAAGATCTGCATTTGATCCTGCACACTTAGAGAGTGATCACTAGTATTTTTATGAATAATATGCTTAAATTTTGTTTTTAATTTTAAGCATATTTTTGTCTTGAACTTCCTGAGGTGGGGGTCTCATTATTCAGCCAGACTGAACTTGAATGTATGATCGTCCTGCCTAAACTTCCTGAGAGCTGGGATTGTAGGTATGCCCCACAATACCTGGGAAAATGTGCTGCATCTCAAGGCTGTACATTCTGGGGGTCATTTGGGGTTATCTATTCATGGGCTATGAGCCCTTCGGCTTGGTGATGGAGAGTGGCCAGCCTGAACTCAGGCAAGGGAGGCCTGCCTTCTTAGCTTTACTTGCAGTGAAGCCCGGACAACAAATTGGTTCTCAGCATCCTTGAGACTGGCACTTTCCTCCTGGCGCATGGTGATATGGTAGACCACCTTGGATGGGGTGCAGACATTTTACAATTACCCGTGTCTCTGAGGAATGGGTTTGGAGGCTTGTCCATTTTGGCTAAACCACTGCTCGACATCAGAGGCTCTCCAAACAGCTCTTCTGGCTGTTCTTCTAGGCTGTGAATTGAATCATGTCTGCCAGCTTCATACAATGAAGTCCTAAACCTCAGAACCTTACAACGTGATCACATTTGGAAGTGCAGCCCTCGGAGACACAATTAATAAAGATGAGATTAAACTCCAGGTGAGTGCCCCCTCAATCCACAGAGTCACATGCACAGAAACAACACGAAGATGAAAGCAGAGGTCAACACAATGCCTCCTCCCAGGAACCGCAGAGAGGCTACCGATCAGCAGAAGCCATGAGAGGAAGGAACAGCTTTTCCTTGGAGCCATCCCTGACAATGCTATTCACAGACTTTCAGTCTCCACACTGGGAAACAACACACATCTGTCATTTAGGCCTCTGTGTTGGGCTTATTTATTGAAGCAGCAGCGGAGGGTGTCGTGCTGGTGAGTGAACCAATGAATTTCATCTCGGGGAGCAGAGAGATTAGTGTCTTTGCTAACACAGGGGGGCCCCAGCTGTTCTTGGTTGGGTCAGGTGAGCTTTTCTTGCTAATGAGTTGTCCCAGATCCAGGGTGGGAACCCCGAGTATTTTCCATTACTTCACACCTCTCTTTCTGCCTGGTCTTGACTTCTGCCTCCTCTCCCTAGCCCTCAGTCTTTTTTTCAAGAATCCCATTGGTCTCTCCCAGCTGTGCAAATACCTACACTGACTTAACACACAGGAGAGGCCACATCAGGGAACAGGATCAAAGAAGCCACCAGGAAGAGCGGAGGGGCAACTTGTGGTCTAGTCAGTCTACTGGTGCCTCGTTTGTTGTGTGCAATGTGGCTGTGTCCGTAAGGAGAGAATGCCAAGCTGCAGAACCAGGAAGACAACGTGACCTACTCTTGGGAGGAAGGAAAGAGAGAGCTCTGAATCAGCAGGGCGATTACCCACGAACTGATGTCCCTGAGATCTGCATTCCCACGCAGTCCGTGGCTTCAAGTCTGCTCCTTTTGTTTGTAAATATGTCACAGTTTTCAACTAGAAATGAAGTGTGTGTGTGTGTGCGTGTGTGCATGTGTGTGTGAGCGTGTGTGTGTGCGTGTGCGCGTGCGAGTGCGTGTGCGTGTGCTTGTGTGTGTGTGTAAGACAGACAGAAAAGAGGACACAAACAGAAACAGAAAATGTCACTCCAAGCTCTCTGTAACTGATAAAGCTCTCTGCGATTGAGGAATCTACATATGTAAACTAAATGAACCTCAGAATAAAAATATTTTTGAAAAAATTTTCAAGTTAGTGTAGATACAGATTTTTATTTTTTATTTTTTTTGACAGGTTGTCTCTGTGTAGCCCTGGCTGTCCTGGAACTCTCTCCACCAGACTTTTATTCTTGTCATCAACCCCTAGAGAACATAATATTACAAGCATGACCATGGCATAGATAATGTATTGGGTATTAGAAGTAATCTAGAGATGGTTTAAAGCAGTGATTCTCAACCTGTGGGTCATGACCCCTTTTGGGGGTAGAGTTAAATGATCCCTTCACAGGGTTCACCTAAGACGATCAGAAAATACAAGTATTTGCATTACGATTCATAGCAGTAGCAAAGTGACAGTTACGGAGTAGCAATGAAAATAATTTTATGGTTGGGGACCCCACACTTAAGGAACTGCATTTAATGGCAGCAGCAATGGGAAAGTTGAGAACCTCCCAAGTATAGGGAGAATGCATGCAGATGCCATAAAAACACCGAGCCTATTTGTACAAGGGAATTGAGCTTTCCCCAGATTGCAGCACCGCCCATGGCTCTAGAACTCATGACCACGGATACTGAGGGACATCTGTAGTGCTACAGCTGCTGTGGAGATGGAGCCAGGGTGTGCACTGAACAAAGCTGGCCAGAAACAGGGCCGCATGGAACCAACTTCCTGTTACCAACTTCCTGTGACATGGCATGCTAGGTAACAGGTCATTAACCAAAACCAAGGGATTTCCTAACATGTAGAAATTTTAGCACTACATGTAGAATTATTCACCTTACCTAGACGGCCACCCCCCAACACACACACACACATACACACACACACACACACACACACACACAGAAAGAGAGGAGGGAGAGAGAAAGACTCAGAAAGATGGGAACCTGTATACTGCTAGGTTGGCAGAAGGAGTCAGCCATGCCCCGCACAGCCGCAGCCACAGCAGAGGGGTCTACTTGCCATCATCACTCTTTGCCAATCTTCTCAAGAAACTCAGTCAAAGCTGGGAGACAAAGTGGAAGAGCCCTGGCTTCCCCAGCAAGGAGGCATCCCACATGGGTGAACCGTCCCTGAGGATATAACAGGAGGGATGCAATACTGGTCCAGAGGCTTACTCCAGGTACTTCTGTCTTTGAGATGCTTCAATTTGGCTATGTGGCTCCGATCAAATCTTTTTATTTTTAAGATTTACCTATTTATTTATGTATACAGTGTTCTGCCTGCATGTATGCCTGCAGGCCAGAAGAGGGCACCAGATCTCATTATAGATGGCTGTGAGCCACCATGTGGTTGATGGGAATTGAACTGAGGACCTCTGGAAGAGCAGGCAATGCTAACCACCTAGTCATCTCCCCAGCCCCGTTGAGTCAAATCTTGAGGTGCTTTGGATCCTGAAACCTCTGGCTTGTGTTGTGCCTCCACTCTCCTTCCCCAACACGCTTTCTGCTAGTCTCTCTTCCTTCAAAGCTTATTTTACACATAGAAAACTAAGTGAACTAAATGAGAACCTCCTCTTTATTCTCATTCTTTGTGGAAGATGGTAAATAGAAATTATTTACTTTGTCTGGGAAAACCGAAGCTTGAAAAGGGTTGGTACCTCATCTGAGGCTTCATCCTGAATGGGGACAGAGCCATGCTCCCCTGTGTGACTCTGCTGAGGGGATTGGGCTATGCATTTTTCTCATGTGATCTTCAGTTTGTTCATCTTGTAAGTAGCCACCATGAAAGAAAAAAAAAACCTTACCTGTCATATTCACACATGCTCACAGTATCTGTATGAGCAGATTGGCATCATCCACCACAAGAGGTAAAACAAGTAAAAAAAAAAAACTAGTTGGTGTGGGAAACAGTCACTGGAGTGGGCAAAGACCTCTGGGCTTGTGCTTGGGAAGTGCCGTTGACTCATACTGAATACAGTGAAGACAGAAGGGAGAGAATCTTCTCACCCTATCCTCTCCCCGTCTCCCCATCTGCTCTTATCTCTCCTGTCCATCATTTTAAGGAACTTACAGCCTTCAGAAATCGAGCAGAGAATCCAAAAGACCAACACAATACTGGCTAGTGTTGAAGAAGCGACCATTACAGCACCATTTCCAAATCTACAGGTGTCAAGCGGCTCCTATCCATATGCGGGAGGGGAGACAGGAGTGAGAGAGATAACGGGGGGATTCAATAATTTAGGATTCATTATAAATACATAGGAGCCAGGCAGTGGTGACATATGCCTTTAATCCCAATACTCAGGAAGCAGAGGCAAGAGGATCTCTGTGGAGTTCTAGCCCAACCTGGTCTACAGAGTGAGCTCCAGGACAGCCAAGACTACCCAGAGAAACCCTTTCTCAAAAAAAAATGAATAAATAAATAAAAATAAAATAAAAATTAAAAAGTAAGTAAAACAGAACAAAAATCCCACACATGAACAAAGAACAAATGTAATTAATTTCTAAATCCCTCCTTTTCCCACCAGGAACAAATAGCAGGGTGGAAATCACGGGAAAAGGCAAGCCCTGCACTCTCGCAGTAGGTGCGGACTCCATTCTCAGGAATTCAGGGCCTTCAGGCTGGCCGAGTCTCACATCAGAGAACAGGGGAGGCATCCTCTTCCAGGGTCACAGGACCTCTGCCTGCAAATCCACCTGAGGCTCACTTCCCAGCTACATAGCCTTGCTGATCCCAGCCAGTGCCAGTCCAATCAGCAGCGATGTCATATTGTTTGGGCTGGGATCATTCCTGAACCGTGAAACAGGTAAGAAATATCCTGCCCCACTGGCTGCCAGGCTCATAAAGGTGGACCCACGTGGACTTCCTCCTTGTTCCAAGACGCACCAGCTCATGCATTTGCTCACACCCACGGGGAGAGACAACACAGGACTGCCACCTCCCATGCAAATCAGCCCCAGGAGCGCAGCTGGACTCCTCCCGCTGGGCAATGCTCCTGGGCAGACCTTGTACAAGATGCCATCTCGGGCGCTGTGTATTTTTCCTCATTGTGGCTCTTTTGAGCGACGCTGTGGGCCTGGTCCTTTTGCTGGTGGGGATCTTCGCCACACTCAACTACTGGGACTTCTTCGTCTACACAGGGGCTCTGATCCTGGCCCTGAGCCTACTGTTCTGGCTTGCCTGGTATTCCCTCAATATTGAGGTGCCTCTTGAGAAGCTGGACTTCTAGTGTGGCCACGGACAAGAGAGATGCAGGTGGCGTATGCAGCTAGGAACCTGGAGCCACCTGAACATGAAGCCCCCACACACACACCGAATGCCCGGCTGGGACAAGGTGAGTGCGCACAAGACCTGCCTAGCAAGGGGGTAAAGGAGGCTCAGACAGGCATGGGCAAGCCAGGATGGCATGGGCAGGTGGGTGGATGACTGAGCCTCAGCTGAGGATTCTGTATGTCTAGGCTCACGTTAATGTTGTGATGGACAAGTCAGGACAACGTGGAATGGATGCTTTCTCTTTAGGGATCATTTTCTCTATGTTCTTCCTTCTTCTAGCAGGCCCCAATGATTTCACTTCTCTCTCTCTCTCTCTCTCTCTCTCTCTCTCTCTCTCTCTCTCACACACACACACACACACACACACACACACACACACACACACGACCTTTATCCCTTCAGTATAGAACATGGGAGAAAAGAGCCCGTCTTGTACGGGGGGTCAGGGGATGGCTCTAGCTTGAGAAAGTATGGAAAGTTCCCCCAGCAGCTGCTAATAGCCTTGTGTGCCTGAGGGGGTGTGAGCTGGGCTGTGTGGGAGCAAGCAGAGCAGAACCATCCAGAATGGCCTTTCTCTTGCGCTTCCTTCCTGCACCTGACATCAGGTGGGGCAGACTCTGCTTCCCTCAGAAGTGCCCCTTCCCTGCTCCTCACAAAGACTAATACATAGAACAAACACGTGTGCCTAGACCAGCCTCAGAGGTCCTGAAGTCTAAAAACTGGCTTTGAGCTTTCACTGCCCAAGTCATATGTCGCAGCTAGGCAAGTGGCTCACTTGACTGCATGGAACAACATAAGAGCTACCTGTAAGATTTGGACACAGAAGTGAAACCAGAAAACAACACTGGGCTGGACATTACAACCCAGAGTCAGATGGCAGCTCTTCCCAGAGGACTGACAAGGGAGCACTGGTCGGTTTGATCTTACACCCTCCTCCGCAGGTGGGTGCAGCTTGACACTCCCTTTTGATTAGGAGGTAAGGGAGCAAAGGTCATTGCTGAGATGGAGGAAGGAAATAATGATTCTCTCTTTTATTGGAGTCTACATTTGGCCCCAGAGCTGTGAGAATAGAGCAGAGTGTGGAGTCAAAGGTAAATGAGAAGAGAAAGGAGACATCAGAACCCCCAGGATCTAAACCAGTAGATGAGAAGAGAAAGGAAACATCAGAACCCCCAGGATCCATATCGGTTGATGAGAAGAGAAGGGAGACAGCAGAAGCCCCAGGATCCACACCAGTAGATGAGAAGAGAAAGGAGACACCAGAATCCCCCAGGATTCACACCGGGCTTCCACATCCCCTAACTGGGTGACTTTGGGTAGAGGCTTGGGTAGAGCCTTTGCATTTTTAACCTTAGAAATGAGGATACTATTCTCTGCTCTCACTAACTAGGCCAGAAAGTGATACGGCAGGAGTGGCATTTTGCAAAAGATTGGGTTCATATGAGTGTTAAATGTTGTTGCTAAACATTCAAGCCCGCCTGGAATCCAAACCTGGAGTTCGTGGTTGTCCCTCAGAGTTGGCCATGCTAAGAATCATTTCGTGTTTTCTATCATGAAGCTTTAGAGCAAGGAAGGTTCCAGTTTGCCTGCTGTACCATGGGAATGAGTCAAGCAAGGAGATAAGGTACCAAAGATGCTGTTAAGATCAGGTCGGGGAGTTCACTGTCAGGAGAGAGGAACAGGCATTGGCCACACAGTCAAACTAGCAACAGTGCAGTAACAAAGTGAGCTGAGGACTAGGAAGGACGGGGGCATCCAACAGAAACTAACCTGGAAGGTGGAGCCACAGGCTTCCTGGGGGTAGTAGCAGGCTGAGCACCCAGGAAAGGGGAGTTTGATTAGAAGAGGGAATAAATTTGGCACAGTTCTAAAAGGAGCAAGAAGGCAGAAGGATGAAGAGTAAGGGCTGAGGAGGTGGATCGTGCAGCAGGTAAAGGCTCAGTCTGGCCCAGACGCCAAGGGCCTTCTTAAGCCATGTTGGTCATGCCTCTAATCGAAGTAAAGTATCAGTGGATTTTTGTCTTGATTCAACTGAATCTGTCTCCAAAAGGTTATCCTAGCCACAACACACAGGGTGATAAGAATTTGTGTCAGAGTTTTGACATGTCCTGCACTGGGTTCCTTGTCCTGTGTCCAACAGAAGTGTAATAATCCCAGACCAGAGAGAAGACTCAGTAGGAAAAGGCACCTGTGGCTAAGTCTGATGATCTGAGTTCAACCACAGAGACCCATATGCTTGAAGGGGAATTCTGACCCTTGTAAGTTGTCCTTTGACCTCTACAACTGCACCAAAGCATGTTTTCACACTTGCTAACACACACACACACACACACACACACACACACACTAAATAATATAGTTTCAAATTTATTTTTAGGTAATTCATTAATTTTTATCTTAAGTGCATTGGTGTTTTGCTTGCATTGATGTCTGTGTGAGGATGTCAGATCTTGGAGTTACAGACAGCTGTTAGCTTTCATGTGGGTGTTGGGAATTAAACCCAGGTCCTCTGGAAGAGCAGTCAATGTTCTTAATCACTGAGCCATCTCTCCAGCCCACCCCAAATTTATTTTTTTTAAATTGAGTTCAATAGCCAAGACAGGGCTGAAGTTCTATACCATTTGCCTTGAATCCTGTGTTGTTTCTTCCTATCTGTGTGACCTAGGGAAAGTTACCTCCCTTCCGCAAAACTGTCTCCAAGTCTGTAGTGGAGATAGGAGATCGAATCCTTAGGAATGACCTCGACCTCAAAGGGTGTTGCTGGTAGTGGTTAAGCAAGGCAAAGGAGGCCTCTGTCATCATGCTGATGGCTGGCATGGAGCAGTGGACAGTAGGGGAACCTTCCTTTCCGATAGACACTCCTGAAAGATTAGGACCAGTTCTGCCTCTGTGAGGCTGGTGCAGGAACCAGGGCCTCAGGCATATTAGGCAAAAAAGCAGCATTCCCCAGTGTTAGCATTCCAGCATCTGTACTGGCCTGCCCTTCTCAGCTGTAGCCACTAAGAGCACCTCCTGTGCACATTCACTACTCTCCCTTTTGAAAGAACCCTGTCCACCTCCCATCTCTCTCATTCTCTGTTTCTCTCTCCCCTTCTCTCTCTGCCTCTCTCTTCTCTTCTGTTGCTGCCGTCCCCAGAGACCAGTCTTACGGCTCCTCTTTCCTCTGTTTACGCTCCCTTTCCCCTAATAAAAACCCCTCCACATGAACTCTGTCTCAAACACCTTTCTCTCACACACCACTTTTTTTTTTTAATTACAATACCCAGTGTGATCAATGCTTAAGGCAGTGCATGGTGTTAAGAGGGTGTTTTGGTTTTCCTACTTTTGTTTTGTGTGGGTAGCAATGGGAGTGGATGCTGGCAGGTTTTGACTCAGGCTCATCTGGATTTTCAGATTTGGGGCTACCCAGTGTCTTCTCCATGGAGCACAAGTCATTCCAAGAGCACTTTCACTTTTCCATCCTTCAAAGTCTGAATATAGGAGGCCTTCAAAGCCACCAGGTCACCAGTGACCTTTCTCTCCATCCCTGCAATAGAGTGGTACCAAGTAGGAGCATAGCCTTTCTGCTCTTTTATGACCTTGGACAAGTCATTGTCCGTCCCTTTGTAATGAATCTTTGATCAAGTAGTGCAAGTCAAAGATCCCCAGAGAGACCAGGAGTTTAAGGCAGAGTGAGAGAGCAGGAATCCAGAGCCCCAGTCCACACGGTCTTCTCATCTAGGACGCTGGTTCTTCAGTAGTTTACCACTGAACTTGCATAGGAAGTAGTGTTTTCCTTGAACACTTCCTCCGGTGCCCAGCACCACCTCTCCAAGATCTTTGCTGTCAATTCCCTTGCATTCTGCAACCTTTGGCCTCAGTATAATCACCAACTCTATTTATGATTTATGGCAATTGTAACTGGTTTAGCCAGTTCTCAGCTTTCGGAGTGGGGTCTGGGGAAAAGAAACAGATTCCTGAGTTCAGAGGCCAAGGCCACATCACCTCCCACATCTTTGGGAGACTGGTGAGATGAAGTTGATAGGACCTGATCCACCCTGCCCCAGGGCTAAGAGATCACATTCCTGGTCAGCTGCAAGGCAGAGCGGTGACCTGGCTGCTCTGCCAGCCCTTAGCCTACAACCTGCCTCTTCTCCAGAGGCAGGGGGGCAGCTGGTGCTAAACCTCAAAGGCTGTTTCAAAATGACTGGAATGACTGGCTTGTTTTTACAGCCCAACTGTGTACAAAGTGAGACCTCCTTGCTTTGATTTTTATCTCTTGGCCACTGTGCTTCCAGGTTGTTTGCTCCCTGATTGGTTTTTTTGTTTGTTCATTTGTTGTTTTTTTTTTTTTTTAATTTCTTGGGCACGTCCCATAAAGATAAGTCCCCAGGAAAAGTCAGGTGAAGACTATTGTCTATTTGCAAGTAGGATAAGATAATTTCCACCCCAAATACACACACACACATACACACACACGCACGCACGCACGCACACGCACACACGCACACGCATATACACACACTCTCTTGCCTTTTCATTCACTTCCAACACATATTCTACCACTTAGCAGTACACTAAACATACATGCTCCCCGATTGCCTCCTTCACCATATTGACATATGAATATACTAGACGCACGTAGATACATCCCTTCCTCACTGTACACAAATGTCCTATGGCTTCCATCCCACTTATTCACACCCATCGTGGAACTATCACCCGCACTTGCCACTCTGCCATCAAGGCCGAAAGGTATACAAGGCTCAAGGCCCAGAGCCCTGGAAAGTGAAACTTATTCCTCTGCATTGGCTTCTCAAGCAGGTACTTTCTCTCCTCTGCCCAAGCTACTGCTTTGTCTGCTCAAAGGTTAGCTGTGTAAAAGGGCACCCACAATTGCTCAGCAAGTCCATGCCCAGAACAGACACAGTACTGGGACTGTGTGAACAGCCAAGCATCTCTTAAGTCCCCCCAGGGATTTCTAATCTGAGGGGAGAGGTATTGAAAGTGCACACTGCTTCCCAGAAGAACCCAGGAAAGTGCGGTCTGGGAGATAAGCCCAACCTTGTGCAGGCTCTGAAAGCTGGAGTGAGAGGAGCAGAGCCCCTAACTGAAAACAAGGGTCATGCATCCAACCACAGGGAGATTCAGATGTCTGGCCCGGCCCTGAGAAACAAATACAAATTTGACAGCTAGAGATGGCATAGGCAAGATTAGCCTGGAAAGAGAGAGCCTTAGAGACTAAAAAAATATAGGGATCTCTGAGTAGGTTAAATAAATGTTTTGGACTTAGGGGTCTTCCATGTAGTCCATCCAGGACTCTTAACACTAAGTGGGACTTCTCGTGCTTGATGTGGGTGGGGATGTTGCCATTAGAGATTGGGGAATGGTCATTTCCCCCATTCTTTGGGAAGAGTAACTCGATAGTGTGAATGCAATGAGTTAGGAGATGGGGGACACCCCAGAGTGCAAGGGTTCAGTAAGAAAAGTTTGGAGAGGAATGATGGCTCTGAGAGGGGAGGTGGGAGAGCACAGAGACATCCTAACAGAAGGGACCGCCTTGCTCAGCTGCTGGGGGATGCTGTAGCAAAGGCTCAGAAAGTATCACCATTCCTGTGACAAGAGAGGTCAGGAGAAGCCATGTTTGACTAAAGTGATGCATTTTTCCCTCAAGCCTGGAGAGTTTGAACAAATGGAGTGTATGAACAAAACTACTCAACTGGGGTTGAGTGTGTGTATTGCTTAACTCAGAAAAGAGATCCAACGTGGAGCTGGAGGCAGGGTTGAAGATATGACTGCTGATGAGATTGTAAAGAGAGAACAGGCTTGGGGGAAAGGGGATACTACAGACTCTGGGGGAGAATGGAGGCGTGGGAGGAACACTAAGACTCCAGGCCAGGATCCAAGGTACTGCAGTTATTCCATTTTACCACACTATCAATGCTTTGAGAAAAGTATCATGGGCCTCCTCCTCTTCTTCCTTTTCCTCCTCCTCATTACTATCACCACCATCATCATCATGGTCATCTTCCCAGATAAGGATGACAAGGTGCATAGTGACTAACCTGCTGAGCAATGCAATAGAGCTAAACTGTGAAGCCCTCTGCATCAGCGTTAGCTCATACTCTTTCTACATGACTGGGCATCGGCAGGTATGGCCTCTGGCCAAATCTGGCCTGCCTCTTACTTTTGTAAGTAAAGCTTCATTGGCTCTCAGTTCTTTGACTTCTGGTATTACACCTGGCTGTTTTATGGAATAGTAGAAGGGTTGAATAGTTTAAACTATTGACTACCTGGCTGTAAGCAGAGGCTGCTTGTTCATTTCTGACCTCCCAGACCGGAAATAATCACACAGGAACTGTATTAATTAAGACTCTGCTGGGCCAATAACTTAGGCATATTTCTAGCTAGCTCTTATATCTTAAATTAACCCATCTCTATCAACCTGTGCGACACCATGAGGTCTTGGCCTACCAGCAAGATTCCAGCAGGCTCCCGTGAGTGTCTTTCTCCTTGGCAGCTATATAACATCTTCCTGACTCTGTCTTCTTTCCACCTTTATCTGCTTAGAATTGCCACCTTGCCCTATTCTTCACTGCAATAGGCCCAAAGTAGCTTCTTTATCAACCAGTGGTATTCACAGCATACAGAGGGGAATCCCACATCACCTAGCCCTTTATAAAAAAGTATGCCCAGTATCTGGCCAAGTCACTGATGCTTCCCATGCAAGGCAAGGTCAGAGCTATGGGCCATGCCTGCACTTAGAGAATGGGATGGGGAATGTCACTTGGGTAGTCCAAGTGAAGTTCCCAGTAATAATTAGGGAGCATCACAATGAAGGTGGCAAAGAGGACAAAGGAAAACCTGATATCCAGCATGGAGGACTGGCCATGGTACATTTCAGAGTTACTGAGAATGTTGAAGTCTCAGAAAAGGTGACAAGTCTCAGCAATGAGCCTTTATCAGTAAACAGTTGGGAAAGACCAGATGAGTGCTCCTTCTGGAGTGGCTGTTGAGATGCACAAGGCCTGGGTACAGGGCAGTCTTCCAAGCGTTTGGTGATGAGATTGAAGAGGCAGGACAATGGCCTGATGGAGTAGGATTCCCTTAGAGGGGATGGATATAGGAACTGAATGAGATGGTGAACAGAGGACAAAAAGGGGGTGGAGAGGACTACACAAAGATGAACCTCTGGAAATGTGGGAGGGTGAAGAATCAAAAGCCCAAGACAAAGCATGAGCTTTGTCTTGAAGGAGTTAATATTTGATAAGTACCTTTTATGTAAGCATCTGAATCAATTGCTTAATTTCATTGCTTCCAAGTCAGAATAAAGGACTCAAACTTCCATTTGGTAGGTGGAAGAAATCCAGGTCTCTGATTTGTTTTCAGTAGCCCAAGAAAATTTGGTGGGTGTTGAGGGACTTGGGCACTGGGACTTAGACCCAAGCATGGCCATTGAATCTCATCTATTTTTGTCTAGCATGGGTCTGTCTAGCACAGAAGAAGTAAATCAAGATGTGCTCTCTTTGCAGCGCATCCTCTGGTAGTATCCAAGAACAACCCAGATGCTGCCGTGATGAAGCCTTCACATCACCTACAAGGGTAGCCACAAATGACCGTGACAACAGGGCCCTATCTGGAGCCCAAGCATCCTGCTGAGGCTGCTGTCACCATTCTAGAAGTTTGTGAGGGACTGAGAAACCATGAAGTTCCACCCGCGGGGCTTTTATAGGAACCATTCTGCTACAGACTTCGATACCAAGGAAGCCTCTGGCCAAAGTACTTTCAAAGAACTGCCCATTGGAATCAAGCGCAGACACCCGGCCAGAGTCTCCCATGAACATGCATTACGTAAGACTGCTGGCATGTCCCTTTGATGGTCACTGGACTCCGAGCCCCTGGCTCCCCTTCATCCCACCATTCAGCGGACACACAGGATACTGAATCATGAATGCACAGCTAAAGTGCATGCCAGGGGACTCTTTATACTGATGAGTATGCTGGCACTGCTCACACAGGCCCACCTAGGTGCAGAGAGAGCCAGGCCATGGGGCTGCTCACATTGAGCTTCAGGTCTACCGAAACCTTCAGGCATTTTATTTTGACAAGTGCTCTAGGCTTCTTCTGTGAAGTCTGTGGGTTGTTCATGACTTCAAGGACAAGACTGTATTTCTAAGTACATGTAATCCAATAGAGCCTGACCCCAGTATCTCATGAAGACCACTATTCCTGGGCCAAACGGAGAGATGTGCTCTGTTTGGTATCCCGGGCTGACCTGCTCCACTAATTTATGTTTCCCATGGTCTGATTTTGCACTTTGTATTTATATTATGCCCTAAATGTACATGTTTCCTTTAAATTGCCCCATATCTTTCATGGTATGGGTCAGTTGCCTAAATAAAGACATGGTTACATGGGTATGTTGTTATGTGACATGATGTTGATTCTGAGTCTGTACGATGGCAAACCATTCCCGTCCCCTCAGCTTTAGCCCACTACCTTCCCATTTATTTACCTCAGAAGTCTACTGTGAGTGCAATGCTCACTGAAGGGAACACACAGAGCACAGGGTTTAGCCCTGACCCATGGATTCTTCTGGCTTCTCTGGGCTCAGCTAGCAGCTTGGCTTCTTAGTTCAAAGATGGATTCAGAAACCTGAACAGACATGATGAAAGAACATTCCATTAAAAAGAAAGATTGTCCTTCTATCCAGAACCTTCCTTGACCTCCTTCATTCGTGACCCTATCAATTGTATCTGGTGGAAATTTGTGTGTGGGAGCTGACCTCATACCCAGAAGAGACCACCTCTTACCTGAGGTCCCACTATCATCACAGTAAGGAATAGGGCAAGTAATCAAAGTCCTTAGGAAGACACTATGCTGGAGTCCCAGCAGCTTGTCTTCCTGAGGCCAGCACAGTTGGGTGTTTTGTTTGTTATTGTTGTTATTGCTGCTGCTCTTATTTAATTCCAGAAATGGAACCAGTCTCCGTTTCTTTGACTAGATACCAAATGCAGTCTCTGACTCTCGCTCAACAACAGCCTCATCTGCACTCACAGAGAAAAACTAGGCTCACGCTCAGCCCAGAGCATATGTCCACACCAAAGAAAGACAGAGCTGAGATTCCCACCTCACACAAAGCCTGCACTGCAGGGTCCCGGATGCTATGCACTCTTTTGTTCCCCTCTTGCTCCTAGTCTAAGAATGGCAAGATGAAGACTGTTGGGTGCATACATCCATCCTGGATCTACTTAGAAGACATTAACTTGAATCATCTTCCCAGTTAGCAGATGCTTTTACAGGATGGAGCATCTGACCATGGACTTGGGCAGCGAGTATCCAGCAATCTGTGATAAGGTTATCCCTCTAGCCCTTCAAGGACTATCATAGAAGGAAATGTTGACTCACAGAGAAAGAGCTCCTGGAATTTATCAGTTATCTTGTTGCTACCTTTGAGAGCAACAGCCGGCAAAGGAACGCACCCACAGGGCATATGGAAACTGGGGGAAACTCTTCTGCAGCAAAGCTCAGTCCACAGCTGCACATCTGCAGCTCTGAGACTCCTTAAGGTACAAATGCTCAGGTGCAAAGGCTAAAAGAGACTGTGGAGCCACGCTCCCTCAACTGTCGGGAATCTTCTTAAATGCAGCTTCAAATTCAGTGAGTGTAGAAAGCATCTAAGACTCTGCCTTCCTAGTAAAACTTCGTGTGTTTCCTCTTGCCATTAGTGCCCATGACACACAGAGGAGATCCCCAAGACCCTAGTCATCTTGCAGAGAGGGAAACCCACATGTGAGGCAGTTCTCCCAAGTTCAAAGTGTTGAACGTGGCAGATCTAGGTTTGCAGACTCTATACTGTCAATTAAGTACTCTCTTCCCTTTGGGAGTGGTTGGCTGGCTTCTCCCCAGTCACGAAGAGCCTCAGGCAGTAACAAGCAAGCAAGCAGCTCAGGCCAGGGGAACTGAGGCAGACTCCTGCTGCAAGTGAGTCACACCTCAGGCACCAACCTGGCTGTGCTTTGCCCCAGGGAATGAGTAGGACACCACACTGTTCTGTGTCACCCCAGATGCCAGAATGCTGAATGCATAGGTGTTCATCATGTGGTCAGATTAAGCCAAGTTAGGTCTGATCTGCCTCCATCTTGGCTCTTCTCATCACTGCTCACACAACAGTAGGTTCCTAGGGAGAGCAGCTGGGTTTTCCCACGCACCTAGAATCAGTAGCCCCTGCCTACACACACTTGGTAGGTGTTCTTCATCACAAAGCCCACAAAGCCTGGGGGAGATGGACATTCTAGAGGGAAAGATGGTTCACTCCCAACCAATTACCTCCAAGTGCCCTAGATTCAACTCATTTCTCAGTGAAATTACGTAGGTGGGAATAGGGAAGCTCCCCATGGCTAGCGTGCAAGTTGACTCTGTTACGGTTGAGGTGGGTTCAGAAATGTTATCTGCGTGAAGGGTCAAAGAGCCCGGCTAAAGGCCAACCCCGAGGGCAATGGAGTTGGAAAGACAAGCATGAGTGTTTAAGGAAACAGATGTTTTCTGAGTTTGCTCTGCTTCCTCCCGCATCAAGGATCTATGTTTATTTTCTGAGGTTGTTACTGGGTCCTCATCCAGCACATGCTTGGGTTGTATCGGTTCAGGAGACATAGTGATCACCTGCCAGAGAAACGAAGCAGTAAGTGCCAACTAGCAGATAGATAAATCTGTTCGTGTGTTGGAGAGTCTGTTCCAAGACTCCCACAACTTTCCTGGCAGGGTAGGGACACCAGGCTAGAGGCCAGCCAGAAAAACAAAGGTGGTAGCCAAACTGCCTTTGTCAGAGACACCGGGATGGGAAGCTCAGAATCCCAGCATCTGGCTATGGGTCTAAGACGCCCAAGTTTACCCTGTGAAAAAGCTCTCTATGCATATATGAGCGCTAAATAAATGGATTCCCGTGGTGGTGCCTGTCTGCTGTGGGATATGTTGATCACACACTGACGCTCCCAAGGCTCCCCAATATAGTTATATCTTGAATCGGGAGTAGAACCGACTGGAATTGGCCATAGAGAAGGCAGCAATTTGGATAGAGAAGCCACACAGGAAGGAAAGGGCGGGGCCTGGAGTTTGAGCTTCATCTTGGTTCTGGGACGAGGAAGGAGGTGTGTCTGTTGAGGTGTCTCTGGCCAAAAAGCAAGGTCAGCTAGTTGCTACTCAGCCTCTCTGAGCTAGCAGGTTTTTACCCCAACCTTTGACTCCTGAGTCTTATTGATAAATAGAATGATAGAGACTTAACTTAAACCTACATATGGTGGCCGTGGCAGAGCTTGAGGCCATGGGACTGAAAGCTCCACCAGGTCATGGCCTGAGTGGCTGACAGGGCACTGACTGAGGGACCGTGAGGTCATAGGTTATAATTAAAATATCAGAAGATTCAGGTGCATCTGCGAAGCCTCCAGAAAGACATCCCCTGTCTCTGGTTTTACAGTCCTAAACTCTTGTATTTATATTCACTTTAATACAACCAGAAGTAATAGCTGGCCACAGCCCACCCAGGTTCCAGACACTGGAAGTTTCTTCAGCATTTGAAGTTGGTAACTTCTGGGGGTAAGGAGGATCCATTCTGTCCCTGCCCCTGCCATGCGCTGTGGTCCACAGCATGCTGTCCCCAAACTCCCTAAATCAGCAAAGAAAAATAAGTAGATATAGCCAGCACGTTGTTTCTGCCTTCTTTCCTAGCTCTTTTCCCAAATCAGTTGCTTCAGCACTAGCCCAGTCCTCAGAAACCTTTTTCTTCTTTACTCTGCTTCTCTTGTTCCCAAGACCCTGGTCTATTCCATAGTGAGGAGACCCAGACAATATCCACTAGGGAATACCCCATGTTCAGTATTGGCTCTGATGGCCTCCCACTCCTGAGCCCATCTTAGCCACCAGTCCTCACCTTCCATCAGCCTCCTACCCTATGGCTGTCTTTCCCGGAGGACACGCCCACTTCTTGGCTCAAAGCACTTGGAGGCTTGACTCTTGCCCTGCTTGGAGCCTATCATCTGAGGAAGACTCCAGGGCCACAATCCTCAGCTCTTGGCCTCTGAAGCTACCTAGGAATACTTAAGTAGTCCCTCTCAAAGTATAGTCAGAGGACCTGAGCAGCTACCTCACCTGGGATCTTGGTAAAAATGCAAAATGTCTAATCCCACAGGGTGCCCAACTCCCTATACCCCTAGGGGCTTTCCTGGCTCCAGTGCTGAAGGCTATTGTGTCTTAGGAACCCTTGGTCCTAAACAAATCAGTGTGGTCGGTCACCTCCCCCTATTGCATAGCTGTTGAATGACCAGCTCTAGAAGTAGGGTCCAGTGACAGGTGGTCAGTACGTCCTCCAGTGGACTCGGGCCAGGTGGATTCAAGGCCTGGAATAGAATGGCCCAGGCAGGAATGAAGACATTCTACAGACAAATGTACTCCTCTCCTTGGCTGTCAGCCGATTAAGACAATTGACCCCCAAGGAAGTGGAATTTCCCAGGAACCTCCTGCTGGGAGAAGGAACAGGCTGAAGGCTGCTTGAGGGAGATTTACAGTTTGGCAGACTTTTGGCAGAAGAGACTGGAGTTGAGACAGTGGTGATGGGTAGGACCATATCTTAATGGAGATTGGTTAGTTGTATACACATCTGG